ATACTACGAAAAGGTTACATTCCCGCTATAAAACGACAGCTTCATTATTTCGGTGCTTCCTCCCACCCCCGTTTTTCCTCTGACCTTTAGCAAGGATCTTCAATAATTGGGTAAATGTCATATTCTAATATTCCCCCGTAGAGGTCCACATCATAATTTAGAATTCCAGCATGAATAAACCATTCTGTTTTCTAAAAGCACTGTTTCCGTGACAGTTTTCTTCATGAATGCAGAAACTGTTTCTTATCTCAGCAGAAAAAAGTTTAACGAAATCTAGCAAGATTGATTGTATATTTATGAGGTTATGATGTCGTAAGCTGATACTGGCCTTGGTAGAATACAATGTCAAGTCAATAATTCAGACAGATATATACTTGCAGTTCACAAAATATATATGCCTTCTAGTTCCAGCTGTGAATAATAATCCGATAGCCCCTATATTTTGTGTGTAACATATGGCACTGCTGCAAGGGTGTACTCTAAGTGATAAAAATTAAGGGGGGAAAAAAAGGTCATTCACAGTAAATATCCACCATCTGCTCCCAAGCAGGGCAACAAGCATTTCCATCATGACGGAAATTTAGGTACTGTTCCCACCCAGCCATAAATTGTTAAAGAGAACAGATGATAGGTGATTTTACAAGTCATTTAGTAAACAGCCTTTCCTGATGCAAAGAGTTCATTTCCATTGGGAACTCACTGCCAAAGGCAAGAAAATAAACCATAATCCAAATTAAAAATGGAGCTATCCTTCTGCTTTCATCTTCCATATCAGGGACCACTCTGTTTGGGTCACTCCAAATATCTCCAACTGGATTGCCTGTTCATTTTAATAATGTTCTAGGCTCCAACTCAAAGTAAGGAGAAGTGATAATGATAAGGGAAATAATATCAATATAGTCAGTAGAATACAGATTGTAAGCAGTATGTACAATGTGAGCTATAGCTAGATGGATGTGTGCATGTGTATATATGTGTGTGTCTGTGTAGACATACACGAAGACTTCTTCATTCGCTGAAATGTAGATGTTGGTTCTTGAGCAGTAAAATTATAAGTACCACTTCATCATTGAACTTCTCTGAATTTTAGGAATTTTTGCAATAACATGTATTTCTTGGATTGTATCATCAGATAAAATATGTAATATTTTACGAAATTGTATCAGAGTAAGGAATTTATTTTATTTTTTGCGGGCCTGGTATATACTGGGCAAGTGCTCTACCACTGAACTACACCCCCAGACCAGAAGTAAGGAATCTAAATGCCTGGAGTTTTAGGGTTTCAAGATCTAGAGGAGTTGCTTGTGGGAGTTCCGGAGGAGAATCGAGAGGATTTGAGATGTTTGTTTTGTGTTTGCTTTTCAAGACAGGGTCTTGCTGTGTAATCTAGGCTGGTCTTGAACTCACTGTGTAGTCCAGGATGGCCTTGAACTTGTGGCGATCCTCCTGCTTCAGCTTTCCAAGTGCTGGGACTACAGGTGTGTGCCACCACCTCTGACAATTTGAGGGTTTTGAGGTTGACTGTGAAGAGCAAGATATAACATATACAGAAAGAAAGAAAAAAATTATGCCAGTCATGAAACACAGGTGAAAAAGTAACAAAATCAAACATGAGTGAGTAGAGAACATAAACTAAGGTAATCAGGTTCGTCACCTTAAAACTATGTTTTAATTTATACCAGAATGATTTTATTAAATTCCATAATTGTCCATATTTGCCAGAATTGGCTGGAAATGATTGTGGGTTTCTTCTAATTGTGAATCCACCCTCGAAAATTGAAGAATTACAACTGGTGAGAATATTCCATTCTGTTGTAAGGTCTTAAGGAAATTCACACACTTTTTTTTTTTTTTTTTTTTGGTTTTTCTCCGGTACCGGGAACCGAACTCACAACCTTGCACATGCCAGGCAGGTGCTTTTGCCACTGAGCTAAATTCCCAGTCCCAGTCTTAAGGAAATTCAAAATGAGGAGTTCACAAAAAAGTTTCAAGTAATGTCAGCACACTGAAAAAAAGTAATGCTCAGCTCTACAGGTGTTAAATTCCAAAGCAATCTGTTTTAATACCTATATTCTGTAAACCCAAAAAGCCAGGGGGAAGACAAAGGTCTAAATTGAATGTATTTTTATGATCACGCTTGTCTTCTTTATCACATCCACCTTGCTCCACTATCAGGAAGGGTTTCAGAGTTTAGTTTGTACACATAGATTCGTGTGTCTCTTGCACTTCCACCATAGCCCATTTCTCCCACTGGTCTCCCTCAATGTGAAGCATACCTAGGGTCTACTTGTTAGAGGTGTTTGCTCCCTTGATGTTCCATCAATCCTGACAACCAAAAGGGACCCTGCCACTGCACAGAGCCTGAGAAACAGCCTTAGGAACCACATCTTCAACACCTCATGTTCCCTCACAACACAACACCTCATGTTCCCTCTGATGCTGTCAGAGCAGCATCACGCACTCAGCAACATTTCTATAATGCTTTTGGTGGAGTCAGTAACAGCAAGTTGTTATTCCCATTACACTACTTGTTCAGTGGAATTCACATGGAGGCTTCCGCTTTACAGAAAGTACATTGTTCTAAACCCTAGCCTGCTGGTTTCATCTGAGATTTCCTAGGAGCCTGAAGTGAGAGAACAGTGTGACAAAGTCCTGGTGCAGTCACAGGTAAGGGGCAGACATTCCTCATTTTAATTCTCTACCTCCAATTCCTAATTAATTTAAATTGGAAAGTACAGTCCGCTCTCCACATCTGTGGATTCCACAACAGCAAATTCAACCAACCTCAGGTTGAAAATATTTGAAAAAATATTGTATGTGTATTGAACATGTACATACTTTTTTCAGGCCACTATTTCCTAAGCAATAAGGTATTATAACTATTTGTGTAACATTTACATTGTATTCAGACTAAGTAATCTAGTGATGTGTAAAATATACAAAATGATGTCTATAGGTTATATGCAACTACTATGTCACTTTATATCAGGAACATGAGCACCTGCAGATTTGGGTTCCTGAGGATGAATCTGGAACCAATCCCCCAGAATATCAAGAGATGACTAGATGAGCTTCTAGGTTTGCTTTCTGAAAGTAGAATTAACTCATACATTTCCTTCACATTTCTCCACATCTTTAGAAAGCAAATTTGTATAAGTGTATCTTCTGTAGCTAAATATAATCCATTGTTTGATAACATCAGTTTCCGAATTTTCTTCCCCAGGGGTGGATTAGTCAAAAGATGCTACTTCATGGAAAACCACTCAGGGAATCTGCAGACTTGAGATCAGCTTGCCAGTATCCAAAATAACTTTAGCATGGCATCGTGGTGTTTCAAAGATAGAAAAAACCCTGGCAACCAGTCAGCGAAACCATCTTTTTATATTAAAAGATGAGGAAAGTGAGATGAAAAAATTTAAATGATTTCTAAAGAACAACTTCATTAATGATTGATAAAATTATCTACTGTAAGGTCTAGAGAACATTACATGTATTTAGAGATAAGTAATTGGCCCTTTTTAAAAACAAAATCAGGACTTTTGAGATTAGGTCAGTATGGAGCAAACCAGTTTGCAAATTTCTTAGATTATAAATTGTTTTTGTTTCTCATATACGAAATATATTTCCTTAGATCTAGTATCTCTCAAATAAACATTTTGATTGATTATTTCACTAATACAGAATTAGAAAATATGTAATTAGAAAATAATTTATTATAGAACTAATAACTAGGGAACAAGAAAATATTCTGATGTAGAAAACTGTATAACTTAAACTTAACTTCTTTTTAGGGAAGTAATATGATTGATTAAATAAATATATTTTAAGAGTCCTAGCTCTGCTATTTAATAGCTGTGTGACCATATACAAACACATATTTTCAATCCTATAATGGGAACAATAACATGTAACTCAAGTGGTTGCTTTAAAGATTAAGTAAGGTCAGATCTATATGCATTTAAAGTATCTCTGCATGGCAAATATCCAATAAATGTCAGTTATGAGCAGCTGGAAAATGCTGTGATTGTAAGCTATGATTTAGACTAGATGGGAAAATTTATGTAGCTGGAGGGTTTTTAAAAATCTCTCTGTCTCTGTCTCTGTCTCTCTCTCATCAAAAGCAATGGGTCATGTGTCTTCATGGGGAGATCAGATCCCATAGGAATGGTAATATGCTACAAAAGTATTGTACTGTGAGGAAAATCATCATGGGATATCCATGATTTAGTAGTTTATTGCTGATCAGCAGATGTTTGTTAACAAAAAATGAAGATATATATTTTTCTAAATGGAATGCTAAGCTTAGCAAAGGTGAGGAAATTTTTTAAAAATTATTTAATTGTTACAATGTTATGAAAATATGGAACACTCTTGTATCTATTTGCACAAATCTGTGTTTGTTGTGAAACTAGGTCTTTTATAAATATTTGCATGACCTATCTTAGCACTGAGAAGAAATATAGACAGCACTCAAAGTATGGCTGTCAAAGAGAAAACAGTGGTCATAATATGCTGAAAAAAGATTTCCAAGTACAATTCCTATTTCAGAAAGATGGCGTTTTTAACAAGATTATACATTTACCAATACATTATTGAAAGTTTAAAATCACAATGATGATGAAAGGATATGTAATATTGTAAATTAAGCTTTAGGATTCCATTACTTCAAATAAGTTCAAGCACATCTAAAATAACCTCAATTGGGGCTGGGGATATAGATCAGTGGCATAAGCACCTCCCTGCCAAGTGCAGAGTCGTGAATTCAATGCCTGGTACCGTCAAAAAAGAAAAAAAAAAAAAAAACCTCAATTTTCATGAATATCAGAATAAGATATATTTAGATCCTTATTATATTTTAGGAGTCTAAACAAGGATCTGTCTTCCCAAGTCTAATGTGAAGATCTTTAAAGAAAATAAAATGCTATGAAGCTCTGCCAAGCCCAAAACCTATGTTGTGATTATTTATGTTACTTCTCTATTTCTTTTTTACATTGATACAGATGGACCTTATGGACTTCGAGTTAATTCTGATAAAGGGCTCAAAGTAGGGGAAGTGTTTACTGTTGACCTTGGAGAAGCCATTCTATTTGATTGTTCAGCTGATTCTTATCCCCCTAACACCTACTCCTGGATCCAGAATACTGAAAATGCAACATATGTCATTAAGTACGGGCCTGTCTTGGAAGTGGCGTCTGACAAGGTAGCCCAGAAAACAACTGACTTTGTGTGCTGTGCTTATAACAACGTAACTGGGAAGCAGGATGAAACTCATTTCACTGTCATCATCACTTCTGTAGGTAAGTGTGACATAAAAGGAAGAGATCCTAATAAGACACAAATGTATGCTGGCTTTGCTTTGCCCAGTCAAATACCTACATGGAAGATACAATCATTTTGAAGTTGCTCGTGTGCCCTAAAATACTCTTTCCTAGGTTAAATAATTCATGGTTTCTGTGATTCAAAGAAAAGAAAACTCAGAATGAAATGTAGGGAAATTATTACCTTCCTGGTTTTACAAACAGGAATTTAAAAGAATACTGTTGCATTAGGTCAAATGAACAAATCTCTGGTTCTGGAGGAGGAACCTGGTTTTCCTCCTTGATACCCTTTTCATTGTTTTTCACGGGTTCCTTTCTTTTCTCATGCTTCAAACACATGAAATCCATGGAACTTCTCAATAGCCTCAATACCCTGGAAGTCACAAAACTGTGTTAAGTCCATAAAATTAGGCATTCTGTAGATATCACTTTACTTTCAGAAACATCATCAACCCAAAATAGTTAAGAACCACTGTCAAAACATGGATGCACACCAAATTCCCATCCTTCCTCTCTCTCTCTCTCTCTCTCTCTCTCTCTCTCTCTCTCTCTCTCTCTCCTTGCCCCTCTCTCTCTCTCCCCCAGTATCCTTTCATTCTCCTGTCATATTTCTTGTATAATTCCACTCATTCCCATGGTTTCATGTAACACTGATGCTTCCAAAATGTCTTCAAAGCTCTAGAACTGTATGCCCAGATGCCTTCTGGAAGTCTTTCCTTGGAATTAGCAGAGACAGCGTGTGAGTCCAGCATATCAAAACTAAACCATTTTCTTTACCTATAACTTGATATTCTGTCTGTAGTCCCTGTTTAAGTGGATGTCCCTGCCCTCTACCAACCTAAGACAAAAAGCTAATGTCACCCCCGACCTTTTGCCTTTACGTACTGACTTGCCCCACATTCAATCACTAAGTGCTATCCCTTGTCCCGCCTGCCTGCCTCTTGGATCCATCCACTTCTCTCCTTTATCATCTCCTTCTTTCTTTTCTCATCTGCCTCTCCCTTCTGTCTTTCCTATCTTTAACCTTCCCTTTTTCTTCCTTCTCCTTCATCTTTTTCTTTCTCTTCTTCTGTAGCAAACTTCTTTTGCTACTGTCAAGTCTTTTGCATACAGACAAATATAAATAAGATACCACTTGGAGGAAACCTGGGGCAGGTTTGAACAGGAAGAAGTGGTTAGGGTGCCTATTGATACTATTTTCACTGATGCCCTCTCTCGATCTTTATAACCATAGAACCTAGTATAGGACCCATAAGAGAGAATCCCAATGTATTAAATGAAACAAAAATATAATCCTTATAACCTTAGGACTAACTGTTTCAGTATGTGCCTCTTGCACCAAAATCACCTTGGAAGGTTGCTTTCAGTAAGACCCATCAGACCCGTTGGATGAAAACTTGCAAATAAGGTCTAGCAGTCTAAATATATAACAAATGTGACACTTGTTTTTTTTCCCCCTCATAGAATTTTAAATTTTATGAAAAGCTCTTAAAGAGCCAAAAGGAATTATAAGACTATTGAAAACTTCTAGATTGATGAACAAATATTTAGTAGATGGGTCCTTCTAAGAACTTTGTCAAGTTCAGGATGTTCATATGTGTAAAACCACTGGCATATATTATAATTATAAACTATCTCAGTTTTTTTAGTATGGAGAAAATATTACGCTCTTTAGAAAAGTGCTATCCAGTGGAACTTTCTGCAATGAGGCAGATTATCTGGATGGTAATATGGTAGCCACTAGTCCCATTCAGCTTTTGGACAGTTAAAATATGAATATGCAACCGAAGAAGGGAATTTTCACTTTATTTTAATAATTTAAATGTAAACAGCTACAACTCTCTAATATGGCTATCATATTAGAGAATGCAGCTCTAAAATTTTTATGTGCATTATATTTTATTGGGGCAGTAAATAATATATTTCCTTATAGACCCTCAAGGTATGTGTGTTCAGAGTTCTTAAATTAAGCACTCATTCACTTATTACTTGAGCATCTAGTATGGCCAAACACTGGAAACAGGCACTGATTATACCATAGGAACACAATAATTTCTGCTAACCATGATACCTGTTCACAACTTAAAATGTCTAACAAACATGTAAATAGCTAAAGTGCGTCTTTCACTTCCTATTTTGCTAAATATTTATAGGCTTATCACCTCAGTAGCTAACCAAAACATAACTTGAAAGCCAACTGTAAGAAGCATATAAAAATCTGTGACAATCAAAGGGTCATCTTAGACCGGTTCTTTATGCTTATTTCAATTGAAATCATGACTAATTACCATGAAGGCTAAACTTTCTCCATTAATATTCAGCCAGAGTATTTTCATAATATCAGAAGCCCCTGATATTTTATTAAGATCTTATTTCCAAGGCCTCAAGACCGCTACAGTCTTCATGTCATGTTACCTTTTGCAAAATCTAAAAAACCTGTTTGACCTGTGCAAAGACCAGGCATTTGTTATTATAGTAAATAAGAGCAGGTGCTTATTTTTCAGAGAGATTCAGGCTTGTCAGCATTAGTGACGTCTTTGTGGTTTGCAGAGCTATTTTCCAACTCCCAAATGTCCACAGAACTTTAACTCAAACAGCAGAAAAACAGAGGAGGAAATGAGTAACACTGGCACATTTTATTAAGATTTTAAGTTTTTCTACTCTTCCAAATGAATTGATCTCTGCAAAGAAGATTTAAGTGTACACTAACCTACAGTTATAAATGACCATCACTTGTAATTATCCGTTGAGCACTCACTGACCATCTACTCTGATGAACAAGCTATCTCAAGAACTGTGGGGAATTCGCAATCCTTTAGAAGGATAAGGTATGTGCTTCTGAGATGTTTCCAGAACTGAGTTGATGTTTGGTGTAGCCAGAGTGAAGCTGTAGGAAATAGATGAAGCTCTTTGTTTTTAATGAGGCAAAAAATGCAGCCAGTCCAAAAGTCTCAGCAACAGGATATGGAGAGCAAAGGAAAATGGAATCAAAGAAGACTCCAAGGTCATAGATATAGAAAGAAAATTACAAGGTCAAGAGACAATCAAAAGTTTTATTGAGGACTTTCAGTTGAGCAGAGGAAGGCAGGAGATCGACACAATTAGCTATGCATTTTTCTGCCTGGGTAAAACTAGAGCAGATGGCAGCTTCCACTTCTGTGGGCCATAATGCACATTTAATTTGAGATATTATTAATTGATCTTTCACTATCTCAGAGTAAACATCCTAAAGAAAACAGAAACAATGGGCAATGTTACACAGTTAGGAAGTGATAAAATAATATCTGAATTCAAAGACTTTCTTTTTAACCACCATCCAAACTCTATCCCTTGATGTGACTGAGAATGTTGTTAGGACCACGGTCTTATAGACATATAGAATACAATATGTATTTCCTCATCATCCTAGATCATTTAAATTATGCAATATAGATCCTAAATTCTGTCCATAATTACATGCATAATTTCCTATTAGTTATACAAGCATCTGTAACTCTCTAGAAATTCCCAGGAAAAACTTATCAAAATGATGTGTTATCATTTGTATTTTGAAAAGTAATGATTTTATTGCCTTAATTAATGACTTCTTTAAATGTAGATGTTCCCACTTTAAAATTTTAACTGAGCCTAAATCACTATTCTGATGTACAATAAATATATATGTATATATAATGAAAATGTTTATGGAAATGTAATTACCTGCTCAAAAATCAAATGTTCACATTTATTAAAGGTATCTACATGTAGAGTTCCTTAAGCTACAAGGCTGTAGTTTAAGATTTAGCCCTAATAGAAATATTTTAAATTTATATATAGTCCTGAACAATCTAACATTTTAAAAATTACTTACATTCTACATCTTTTCATAACAAAGGACTAGGAAAAAACCCAAAGCAGGAAAATAAATTTACTAATTTATTCTATCTATCTATAAATTTCTCAAGTCATAAACTCCAAGAGATGTTCTTCACTTTAGGCCACTAAAGTTAACAATTGAGATAGAATAACAACCCTGAATTCCAGAGCCTGAGACCTAGGGTGACTTCCCCTTAACATCTACCACAGAATAACAGCCTCTGTCAGGTGGGATCATGGTGCTGTGTGTAAATAGCACACGCTTCAGTATGTTTCCTTCATCTTCACAGGGATATGAATCAGCTGCTATACCCATTAAATAGATTGGATGGGAGAGAGCTCAGGACTCCTTTGTGATTCTAGAAATAGACACGCTGCCTGGTAGCATATGGCTATCCTGTTTCGGGTGCAGTCTTTTAAACAGCAGGGATGCGATACCATGGATACCACACCTCTTGCCCATATTTGCACTTAGCATGTATTCCATTTTATTTGTTTGTCTAAGGAGGGGACAAATAGCATTTCCACTCAGGCTTTGGTAAATGAGCCAATCAGGTTTAAATAATGGGGAGAATGACCTGCTATGGCTAACAAATAGTGTAATCTCTCTGTAGAGAGAAAGAGGAGAGCTGCTGTAAGTGCCCAGAACTGCACTGGGGTCTCTATACATTCTCTGGGGTAGTGGGGTCAGAGTTTTCCTACCATCTTATTTTTTAAGTTGTGTTCTGAGAGTTCATCTATCCGAAACATTTGCCTTGGTCTAAGACTATAGCAACTGTGCTCTTCAATTTGTATTCTGGGATACAGAAGCCATATTAAGAATAGAGAGCCAAGCCGGGCAGGGTGGCACACACCTGTAATCCCAGCACTCGGGAGACTGAGGCAGGAGGATCATTGCAAGTTCAAGACCAGCTTGTGTTACAAAGTAAGCTCGAGGCTAGCCTGAACTGCACAGCGAGACCGTGTCTCAAAAAGACAAAAAAAGAAAGAAAAAGAGAGCAGAGAGAAGAAGTCAGGAGGAGAAGCTGACCAGGAAGATCCTTTGCTGTGAGAAAAGAATTATCTCCATTCCTTGTGCCCAAGGCTTCAGCGTGACAGGTGATCGTCCCTAGAGGGTGGTTCTCTGATGTAGGGCAAATAGCTCAAGAGAAGAGGCAGAAGGGCACCAAGAAATGAGCCTAAAGAAACCAGAAACAGGAGGTAAGAAGAGTGTAATCCTACCTAGGAGAGAATGCACAAATTTGGCCATTTTCATGACTACATATCAACAGGGACAACAAGCTAAAATGAAGGAGAGGAAATGAATCATATGTATTTTCACATAAGACAGCTAATCATTTTTTAATACACCTACTACAATTTTTTAATAATTTTGCCAATTGTCTGGAAAATTGTCTGATGGATGCCAGAGTGAAAAATGAAACCACCATTAAAATGAAATGTGCTCTAAAATAATAACTATTTCTATATTTTCAAGTCCAAGAATTTCAAAATAATTGATAGTATACTGACATGATTTTCTGCCACTTTATTCATGGTAAAGCACACTACAGGAGCCTGAACAGAAGCTAGAATTTAATTCTTTTATTTGAGGGGACCAGGATTATTGAATTTTGGTGAAGGCCATCTGGCTACCACAAAGTAAAAGAGTTTGAAGTACCCGACGTTTGGTGTTAGAAAAGATTAGACAGAAAACTAATAAAACTTATAACTTAAAACTTATAACTAATAAAACTTATAAAAGCCTACCTGCCAATTGCCAAAAAAACATTTTTGACCACAGAATAACAGGGAAAAAAAACTCCCATCCAGTAAAAAAAAACCCTACATACTAGTTTCTGTTCTGGAACTTACTGTAGTAAATATTTTAGTTTCTCTGGGGCTATATCTTTATCTGTACCTATAAGTGAATATTTTATTAATTTCATTATTACTGTTATGGTAAAACTATGCTAAGTAAGTGGGAAACAAATATACATCCGGTTTTATATATACATAATACACATATATTTAGTTGTCTATCTGAAAATTCCCTTATTAATTTTAATTTTAATATCAGATCTAAAATGAAGACAATGAATTTGCTGTAAGTGGCCCTCCAGTCATATATCTTAAATTCTGTTTTTCTGTTATTTGGTATTATAAACAATTTTTCCTCTTTTTTATCACTTCTAGTGTCTCAGCATTCTATTTGTTTTTATCTTATTGAGAATTATAGTGGAATACAGATTCTTCTGAATTTGTAGCTTAAAAGTGAAACTGAATTACTTTTGTTGAGCTTTCAAAATTGTACCCTTAGGATAACAGAGAATTTGGAATCCAGTCCTATACAGGACAAGAAAATGATCTGAGGATATCAACTCTGAATAAAAGAAAGTTCAAGGAGATGTGACTTTCACCACACAGTTGAAAAGACATAATGTAGAGAATGGGTTTTATTTATTTGTTGTAGTTTTAATTGGTAGAACTCAAATTAAGGAGAGAAAAAGAAGCAAACATGCAGGAAATATAGAAAAAAATATAATTTGTAGATCAAAACCAAAATGTATAAGTAATCACACTAAGTATCAATGGATTAACTATTCCAGCTAAAAGACAGATGTTAAACTGAATTTTAAGATTCTACTTGCTGCTTATGAGTGATATGTCTTATACACACGGCTACTAAAAAATGAAATACAAAAGATGAACAAAAAAATGATACTAATAGCCAGAAAAAAGATAGTATATCTATACCAACATCAGATAACTTATCAAAGAATTAGAAAAACTAATGAAGACAAAAAACATGACTTCAGATGAAATGTGGACATTTCTAAAAGTAAAATTTTCTTCAGCAAAAATTGTACGTGCTGGAATTACAGGCATGCACCACCACACACTGCTTTCCTTTCAGTATTTAAAAACTATTATCAATTCAGCCGTCCTCCAATCTCCTGATGAATGAATAAAGTTTCAGTGTACCTTATTTTTGTTTCACTTTCATCTTAGTAAGTACCAACCAACCAAGGTTCACGTTGATGCTGCACTTGTTCACCAATGATGTTAACAATCACTTTACTGAATTTGATAGTGATCAGCAATTATTGGAAGTCTAATTTTACCAAAACATGGTTGCATTTTACCCATAGGTGGAAAATATATATATATATATTATATAATATATATATATTATATAATATAATTATATAATATATATATATTATATACGAGTTAGGCAAAAGTCAACAAAAACACTCTGTAAGAATCAATTAGCTGTGTGAAATGAACAACAAAGAGTATTGCATATGTACTTATTTGTAAATTATGTGCTACATGTCCTTTAAATCAGTAAATAAAATAACTAACATCAGTGTATATACTGTGCAAACAATTTTTTGAGACAGAGTTATGAGTACGCCACTGGATGTAGTGTTTGGTATATGTAATAAGCTTCACTTAAGTCTCCCTTGGGATGCCAAATCATAAGTACTGGAACAAGAGTGTAATCTAAAAGCTATTATTCGTACTTCCTCATTTCTCTACTGTGAAAATCAAAACCTTGAGAGTCAAGTGGCTCACCTAAATTTATACAGCTCTTTAGAGAGAACAGATCTGTGAAATAGCAGCACAATATCAAAAACTAAATGTAAAAAAATAAAATACAGTACTAAGGCCTCACAAGGGTCACTCAAGTGCTAACAGAATTCTGAAAAGGCCAACTCTCTACAATAGGAGAATATCTTTTATTCTATAGTGTATAACAAAGAGAAAGAAGAGGCCATCTATCTTTCTATTATTTTTATAATGTTCTAGTTTAAAACCAGAACCAATAAATTGCCATCCCAGTTCATTTTAAATCATCTTGCACTTATTTCTTCTACCCGAGGCTTAAAGGAGTTTAATATCTATTTAAATACTGAGAGAAGAAAAATATTAAGGCTTCCTGCTTATCTTGGCTGGTGGGGACTTGCTTTCTGGTGGATTTGACAGGAACCAGACTCAATATTTGTTGCACAGCTGAGTGGGCACAATATTCTTGACCACACCCAAGCTCTCCTGTCCATTCTCTACTGTGGAATGGAAATGGTATCATATGACTTTCACTCCCACATTAATCTGGGCAGAGACGGTCGAAGGTCATAACTCATTTCCCTATCAATATATGAGTCCTACGTTGATACAGAAGACATCTATTTATGACTTGAATTTATTGGCGATGACAACTACTTTCTCCTGCACAGGTTAACTATATGACTAAGCACATTTTGGTCTGGAGCTGATATTAGCATAGACATGCTTACTAGGTTATGTTAAAGTAGTATTAAAAGGAGATGAAAAAGAAAGGGAGATGGCATAAAGTTGAGATCCTGGATTCATATCTTGTAACTTAAGTGACCTGTTGCAAGCCTCAGCTTCCTCATCCATAAAGGGAATCGATTAAGTAATACCTCCCTAATAAGGTTATTGAGAAGATTCAGTGAGTTAATATGTGTCAAATACCCTTACAACAGTGCTTGATATACTGTAAATGCTAGCCAGATGCTAGCTATTAGTACTCTTTCTACAGTAATATTAACTTTTTAAAAAATCACTTAAAAAGCGAATCTTAGTCATAAAACTGGACTTTTAAGTATCTATTGACAGACACAGCTTGACTGGTCAAAAATTAGTCAAGTATATTTAAAATAAATGCCTTTCTTCTTGCTCTTCACCCTAACTCCTTAGAAAATTCATATCCTTGAATTACACTAGAGGAAAGAAAAGAGAAGTAGGGGCACATCTAGGAGCTGGGGACATACAGACAGTAAACTGAAAGAGACCTAAGCTAAGGTGGCAAACACAGTAAAGAAGTAGGATATGAGTTATTTGCTACGTTTACTACAATGTGTCTGTATGATCCCAGGCAGCTCACATTTCCATCTACAAATATCCCTAGAGAGATGTGCATGCACGCATGTGTGTGTGTGTGTGTGTGTGTGTGTGTGTGTGTGTGTGTGTCCTAAAGGATATTCCTTCCATTTTGTGTCTTTCTTGGAATAGGATGGGGAAAGAGAGAAATTTTCAATATTGTCCTGCTTAAGATAAAGAATAATTATAAGCACATCAATTTACATAGTTATTTATTTCTAAAATATATCTGTCTTTTTATTTAGGACTGGAGAAGTTTGCACAAAAAGCAAAATCACTGTCCCCTTTAGCAACTATAACTGGAATATCACTGTTTTTGATTATATCTATGTGTCTTCTCTTCATATGGAAAAAATATCAACCCTATAGAGGTAGGTTAAAATTTTTAAAAAGTTTTAAGTTTGATATATCTACTAAAATATACCTTACTGTGATTTTTTTCTTTTGGTTTTAGTCATAAAACAGAAGCTAGAAGGCAGGTAATATACATGTTTCTGTGAAAATAATTTTATTCTTTATTTTTCCTCAATTATTATCCCTAATGGAAACATCTACTTGTCTTTCCAGGCCAGACACGGAATACAGGAAGGCTCAAACATTTTCAGGTAATGGCCAGAATAAAAATGTTAAAGTATATTAATATATATTTTAAATTAATATATAAAAGTTTGTTAAAGTATATTAAGTAGTATTGTTAGGATTAGTTAGTGGTATTTAATAATGATATTGCTGTTAATACAGTAGAATTCATACAAGACAGTTCTAGTATAACACCAGCAATCCCTTACCTTTCAATGGTGCCTTCACTTTACAAGGGCTGTCCCCGTTTTTATTTATTTATTTATTTATTTGGTTTTTTGGTTTTTCTCCGGTACCGGAACCGAACTCACGACCTTGCGCTTGCCAGGCAGGCGCTTTTGCAGCTGAGCTAAATCCCCAGCCCCCGGGGTGTCCCTGTTTTAATGTAATCCATACAAGTCTGGAAGGTAAGTATGGATGTTTCCAACAAGACAACTAAGGATCCGAGAGAGAAGTCATTTGCCCACAGTCACTGTGTTCTGCTGAATACTTAGTCATTGACCTATCGTTATTATTTTGAAAATGCCAAATGAACTTCCCTGTGTTATTTCCATCAAATCCTGGCAGCTCCATCCCAAGAAAAAGAGAAAGAGAGGTCTGATAGGGGTCTGTCCTCCTTCTTTGTCCCCAATGACCCTCATGGCTTTCACAGTTGACTCTGCACCAAGTGATATAAGTAAACAATGGAGCTTTTGCTGGTCCCTTGGCATGACAGGACCTAGACTTCTGTGCTGTATATGCCACCTTCCCCTTAGGAAAATTATTTTTCTCGACCTCAATTTCCTCATCTGTGACAGAGATAAAAATGTCTGCCTTGGGTTGCTGTGAGAATTAAATAAAACGATGTAGGGGGAGAGCTTACCATGGTATCCAAATGCTAAATAAATATGGTTGTTCCATTTTTCTAGGTCTTGCTCACTTACAAAAGACTCACTGTCAGACCATCTGGTGCCCTCAAACCACCCCCCCCATTACTTTACAGATAAGGTTTAGGTGGATAGTAATATTGCATTGTACTATTTTGCATGTCTAAGCAGCCATAGTTATTCACACATTCTTTTCATTTCTGAAGGTCTCTGTTAGATCTAGCAAGGGAAAGTGGATATTATGAGTGGATCCAAAGTTGCTGTGACATCTGGCTGAAGGCCTAGAGTCCAAGAGTCTCTCATAACTGAAAGTTACAAAAGATAAGCCTGTCCACACCTGTGTATTTGAATATGTGATATATTGTTCCCATGTCAGGCTTTAAGAGTAATTGTTCCAGTTCATTTTCAGTTGTTCAGCTTTAGAAGAATTCATTTCCAGTATCACTCAATATGTGACCAGTTTTAGTATCACTCACAGCAATATGACCATAAGGGCTTGGGAAATAGTCAATTGGCTTTGTACATATACCATTTAAAGTAGACAATGAAGATAAGTTTTAGGATGGTTTTTTAAAGCAATAGCAATCAAAACATTGGGTTTGTTAAGTAGTATTGTTTTCCATTGCAGGCCATGAAGATGCTCTGGATGACTTTGGAATATATGAATTTGTTGCTTTTCCAGACGCTCCTGGTGTTTCCAGGGTTGGTGTTCCTAGTGGCTGGTTAACCAAGTAGAATTCTGCTTCCCCAGAGGTGTAAGCAGCGTGGATTTAAGCACTCAGGCAGTGTGGTCAAAAGGCTGCATTACCCTTTACTGCACTAACTCTGCAACGAGTGGTGTTGCCAGATCTGGGAAGCTAAAGCATCTTTCTCAGCTTTAGAAGTAAAACTAACACAAATAAGGGGGTTATGCTAATTAATAAACATCCTTTACTGGTAAGCTCAGGGAAGAAGGAATTAATTAGGCTGAAGATCAGGAGAACTGAATCAATAGATCAGGAATCTGATCAAAATTATTCTGCATTGCTTTAGTGGCTGCAGCATATCACTTGACTGAACTCTCTGTTCCTCAGTTTCCCTTCATTCCCTCCTCACAATTCTTTGGTGCATTTCAAAGACAATTGATCATACCCTTGAAGGTACCTCATGCTCTTCATAAAGAAGTTATCATGTAGTATAGATCCAAAGGATGCAGGTATAAATTTTTATTATTATTATAATGGGAGCCTTAATAAAGGTGGGAGAGAGCTGCTAACAGTTGAAGCCCTTTATTCAGTCTGAGGGGAAAAATCTGTTAAAATAATAAAAGTCTTGTCTAACAGACATGCAGAAGGTGTCTCTGAGCTGATCAGCTCATGAACACTGTTGCAGATTTGTGTAGGATTTGTTTTTCCCCTGCGTCCTTATTACCCTATGATAGTCCACTTTTTTTTTTTGGGGGGGGGGGTTTTCTCCGGTACCAGGAACCGAACTCATGACCTTGCACTTGCCAGGCAGGCGCTTTGCCGCTGAGCTAAATCCCCAGCCCCTGATAGTCCACTTATGGAAGGGGTCATAAAGGGATTGATTGGGGCTGGGCAGTCTCACTTCCATTTTTTAGGACTACTTGTTGTTACGGAATGGCTACTTTGCTAGTTTAGAGCATTCTATCAATGTGCAAGGTTCATTCAGCAGGTCTCTTGGCACAGACTGTTTCAGAAATGCCATGTGAGTCATGCAGAGGAGTTGATTGGATGTCGCCCTCCCTAAGGGTAAGTCAGCAGCACAGCACCCCAATGTCATGGATGGAGAGAACTACCCTGCAGCAGCTTTGCAGTACCTATTCCATCTCAGGCAGGGTTGACTAGCCCTTCACTCTCACAGCAAAGAGACAAAAATAAATATTTGGCAAATTAGTTATTTAAAACTACTCACAGTGGCAGAAAGCACCCCATAAGGTGTGGCTTCAGATGGCACAGCAGGAAACTGAAGAGCTGAGAACATTTATAATTGAACTTTTGAGACAAGGAGTTTTGCTTTATAATAATTCACACTTTTTATTCCTAGGAATTCATTGGAAGTGAGTGAGTTTTTTGTAAGAAATTTTGGATTTAGACTTGTGATAAATCAGTACAAGGTTTGGGATACTAATTGGGAGGACCTATACTGGCTCAAACTGTTAACACTCCTCGAGAATCTGAAGCGCAGAAGTGGATCCTTTAATTGCATCTCAGAAGCCCCACTCATTGCTGTCATAAATAGAATTTCATTTGGAGCCGTGCCCATTTTCAAAGCTGAAAACTCCTGAGAATTCTGCTGAGATTCTTAATTGGCCAGACCAGGTGCTTCGGGGAAGAAGTGAAACATCAAAAGCAGCAACAAAGGGAGGGAATGAGGATGAGTCCATGAGGAGGAGGATCTGAGTGAGCGACAGCTGGAACAGCAGCGACACGGAAACGCTGGCATCCAAAGACAAGATGATGGCCTTAAGAAGAAAAGGAGAAATACTAGAAAAAAGCAAAATCTCAAGATTAAAGAAGGAAAATAACAGCACTCTGGGGAGCTGAGCTAGTGCAAAAGCCCAGGGTTTAGCCCCACACTACCTCCACAAACGGGGGAATGGATAAATGGAATTCCTAGTATTTTAGTTTTTAAAAATCAAGATAGTCTCTTGGGGTTCTCTTGTTTTTGGTACATGTATAAATGAAAGACTTTCTCCCTACCTATTGTACATTTTATGTCCATTTAGGACCTCTTTCAGGAATCAGACAGAAGGCAATTGTATAAAATGAACACATTTGTCATTCAACAGTCCTAATATTAGGTTAAGGAAGTTAGTGATCATCTATAGATAACTTTTACTACACCCAAGAAATCAAGAGTTTATCTCAAGTACAAAATGTAGACCAAATATCCTCAATATGGAATGATAGGACAGAGCTTTAGTAAATGGAGACTCCAGAAGAGCATAAAGCCAAGACATTCAAATCTAAGCTAGCAGGTCAGGGGCTGGGGATTTAGCTCAGTGGCACAGCACCTGCCTGGCAAGTGTGAGATCGTGAGTTTGATTCCCAGTGCCGGAAAAAAACAAAAATGAAATAAAATAAGCTAGCAGGTCAGATTGGGATGAAACAGAACTGCTCAGACTTACCAGGGCAGACTCTTTTGGGTGAAACTGTACAGATATGAAGGGGTGAAAATACACAGAAGCATGATGAAAACAGAAAGTGAGTGACAAGCAAAATCGGACTTTAAATAGTTCGAAACCTGCGTTTTTAGGAGGAAAAATAGAAGGAATGGGAACTAATAACACATGAATGTCAGTTTCAATAAAGTATCTTCAACAAAATAAAATGTTTTTCTAGACAAACATAATATTCTCTCATTTTAGCCAAGCTTTTAGTTTTTAGGCCCCGTTAGTACACTCAAACCAAAATATCCCATTTTGTGTGCTATTTTGTGGTGCTGTCTTTACACTTGTAATGCGAGTAGAGCTTCTTGTCGTACATTATTCTTTAAGACATTTTTCACATATAATTGGCAAATAATGTCAGAAGAGTAATTAGATGTAATATAAAAGATAAGAATGTATGCTCTCTTGTTCTAAACTGCTACATTTCCTCTTCTGCTTTTTTTCCCCTATTATATTTCCTTAACAGTTTTGCCATCTTTTTTCTTAAGAAAAAATAAAACAGCTTAGTAAAGCTATTCTTCTTCTGACCTTATAGTTATGCTACTATCCAGACCACCAAAGGACAAATGCAGAAAACTGGCAAGGAGGAAAGAAGTATTGCAGGGATGAGAAATAGTTCCAATTCTCTAATCATCACTATTGCCAAATGTTTTTAAGCTCTACAAAAGAATGGAAATACTACTGACTAATCATAGATTTTTTTTTTTTTGATGTGCTACTTTTTCTAGATGCCAAGCAGGTCAGCTCCCACCTCTGATGGTGTATCAGGGCAAGACTTGCACAGCACAATTTATGAAGTTATTCAGCACATCCCTGCCCAAGAGGAAGACCATCCAGAGTAAGTATGAGTCATTTGGTGATGCTACAGGAGAGCTCAGCATTTAATCTCTACTTCCCTCAGAATTTATTGGAAGGCTCAGAAAAAATATCTAAAAAGGAAATGATAATTTCTGTATACATCAGAATGTATAAGACAGTCCCCACCTGAACATAAGTTTGAGAAATAGGCAAACACATAAATATTTTCTGGAGCTGTGCGTTTGAGCCAGTGGATTCGATGCAGAGCTCTAGAATTAACTGTTGTAGACATTTCTCCTGCTCATGGTATATCCTCTGGAATTCACCTCAGGGCCTGAAGGGCACATGCTGGCCAGTTTACAGCCATCTTGTTTATCTTATCTAGTGTCCCTGGTAATTTTAGAATGGAGATTTGTCACTAAAAATAAAACCAGGGGGGAAAAAGGCCCACAGAAGGTCCACAGCATAAGCAGCATGAAATGCCCAATGTCTTCCAACTCAAAGCAGTCTGTTTACAAGCGAAGAGAACTACAGAAGGACAAAGCCTATATTGAGTCCAAACCCAGAAAATTACTTATCCAATTAACTTCAAGGCTGCCACTAAGAAGCCTTTGTTCCTTCTCTGTCTTGGAGAAACTAAACCTGTAGTCTTCCGAAATAATGAAATAGGATTCCGTTTTTTTGTGAACTGTAGCTGCCCGCAGGTATAACTGCCACAATCATCTTCCATTATTTCTTTGTCATTTATTGACTTAGAACAGAACACCAGTAACCACACACAGGAACTTCCCCTCTGGCAAAAGAAACAGTTTCAGCAAAGTAATTCATGTACACCTTTGGGTAAATACCAAAAATAACAAGCCAGGAGTGAATAAATACATGGGAAATCATCTGACAGGAGGAAACCCAGGCCTGGGGAACTCTGCAGTCATTTAAGGGGGAAATAAGTGACTACATACTTTTGAGGACACTGTCAGGTAAAATTTACCTGGCATTGAGAAAATTAGGAAGAGTCTCTAATGGAGCTAGAAACTTCTGACTTGAACAGAAAAGAAAATTTATTTACAGCAATTTTATCTATAACTTTTTAATTTGTAGACTACTACAAGAATGGAAGATTGTTCCATAATAGTTTAAAGACAAAAACTCATCTAAAATGATAGATATGTAATCATCTATACTTTCTGTAAGAGAAAGTTATGAAATAATTTCTTTTTCTTGTTTTTCTTTGTGTTAATTGATGCATAGTAATTATACATATTTATAAACCACAGTGTAATTTTTTGATCCGTGTATACCTGTGTGTCCTGATCAAATGTGGTTAAATAACCTATCACCCAAATTTTGAGAATATGCCTGCTTTATATGTTTGAATCCAGTATAAAAAATTTTATCCTATTTAAATTCATTTATTCCTATATATGCAGTAAAGATATTATCCTGTTTAAATTTATTCATTTTCTATACACCCTTTGTTCTAAATTCGGTATTTACTTTTTTCACTAGAATGCAAACAAACCAAGAGAGAACTTGAGGTTTCTCTTCATAAATTTCCTAAGAATAAAATGAACATTAAGTTAAAATTATGGCTATGACAGCTACAATTTCAGAGCACATAATAAAGTGATTGGGTTGTTTTGTTGATTTTCTAAAAAAAAAAAAAAATCACCTTCTGAAACTTGATGCCTTTCAGACATGAGGAAAATCTTTAGAATTCTTAAAAACATAAAAGTTTCTTTCAGAAATAAATTTTGAAGGTTGAAAACAGCAGGAATCCTCTTTCAAGTACTGTTAAAAATTTCGCTGGAAACCAGTGCTCCTTTGAAACAGGCCCAGGGTATCAGCTCTTTCTCCAGCCAACCTGTGTGACATCTTCTCTCCCCTGACGCCTGTGCAGTCTCCTCCCCTACCTTCTGGTTTGCTTTGTGTTTTGTTTTCTTCTGTTTTGTTTCTCTGCATGTATTCGTTCTTCCAGTAGTTTTCTCATCCTTTGTGTTCATTCTTTGATTCCTTCCTTGTATGAGTCTAACCTATTTTCTTCCTTTCTTTCTCTTTAAGACTGTCTCTCTTCTCCCTAAAATCTTTTTTAAAAGTTTCCTCTTCTCCCTCCAACTCATCCAAATGGGAAACCAAGATCTTTTAAATAATTTTCAATTTCAGTACAGATTTATGTTATTCATTGTGAATTTTAAAAACAAGTACAATGCTTTCCCTTTTTTCCATCAGCAACTGTTTTACTTATTTTATTTACAAACATTTCTAGGACATTTATCATGTGCTAAGGAGAAAGATTAAATAAGACAGTCTTAAGTATGCCATAGGCTAGTGGGCTTCTTGCTTATTTTAACTAAAAGGTAATGATCCTTCATAAAATAAATATTCCTCCTTAGAATAAATATTGCCTATAAATACAAAGACCGTTTTTCTCTCCTGATTGCCTATGGTTTTATTCTCTAGGTCCAATTAAGTCCAAAGATCAATTTCATGAATAATGCAGTATTACAGGTGCTTAGTGGATATCCCCAATCCCCCATTTTCAAAATCAATGTGGTAGTCTAGGGAAAGAATTTCAACTTTCTAATGCCTTTATTTGCTCATCACATCTGAGGTAAGAAAGATAGCTAAAACATTCATTCTTTGATTCTTAGACTATTTTCTTGAGTATATGTGACTGTCAGCTACTTGGACTGGTGTATAACAAATTGGTAAAATAGTCTACGTTCATATTCTAGCACTCAGCCTAAATATTTGTTTATTGAACATTTATTCAAATGCTATCTATTGACACCATTAAACGTTCTTGAAAGAGTTTTTTCCAAAGCCAACAATGACTTTTAGTATCTTGAAAACAGGTCATACAAGTAAGTAATCCTTGAGTTTCAAAGGCAATTATCTACAGAATTTAATGATTGCTTACTCTTCATATTTATTGATTGATAAGTATAATTTTCTTGAACCATCTCAAAATCCTCATATGATCTGCAGTATGGAAAGGAATAAATAATTCAATGTTCTTTTACTTGTAGACCTGGAAATCCATAGAAGTGTTCACAGAGGAGAACATTGGAGTGAAATAATGAAGGAATATCCAAGGAAAGATAGTGGAAATGTATATCCATCCGGGAACAGCATAGAAATCGGCCTCTTACTCTTACTCCAGTATCTTTTAATACTTCTTTTACATGCAGAATAGCGACATCTATATAAAGTGGACTGCAGGATTCCAGTCTATGCAGCCAATGTGTTGTGCAAGCAGGAAACATCGCAGACATTCTTTATCGTGCTGACTGAGAGAAAGAAAAGAATGAAGTTTTCCAATCAGTCTTTTTGTATCAAATTTTTCTAAAAAGCACCAATTCATTCTCACCTCTACGTTTACTTTGACCAACTATCTTATTATACCTACAAATATAGAAACTTTACATTTGTGAATTTCTCAGCAGGTTCTATTGCATTGCATTCTCATGGCTAAATTTTTATTCCCAAATTTATTTCTTATTATTTGCATCACACAAGTAAGACTGCCTTCTTCCTGGTTGTGAGTGGACTTGTTTGTCAAGCGTGTTTTGAAAAAGACTTGGAAACTGTTAAAGGAAAGAATTTATTAAAGTCTTACTTAGTTTTTGTTCAGAGAAAAATGAATCCAAATGAATTGTGTTTTTGCTTTTCTGTGCTCTTGATTCTTAGTCCTGTAGAGTAAAAACATTATATAATCCTATGCCTGCAGTTAGACCTAGAGTTAGATACTTTCTTATTTTCCAAAGTACAATAAAGTATATTATAGATAACTATTAAATAAAGACCCTATTTTCCCACAGTTGATTGTGTTACAGAGAAAAAGCAAATTGTTAAAAAATTGAAAATTTCTTTCTTAAAATTTTTCAAGGGACTGGGGATTTAGCTCAGTGGCACAGTGCCTGCCTGCCTGGCAAGCACAAGGTCATGAGTTCGATTCCCGGTACTGGAAAAAAAAAAAAAAAAAAAAAAAAACAATTTTCAAGAAAACCTCCATATTTACACTGTAGATCCGTATTTTCACAGGAGCACATGGTAAAAAGAAAATTAGGACTGTATCCCAAGACTCCTCCTTTCTGGTCTTCTCTCTGCCACAATTACATATTTTATTCTGTTGAAAAGGTCAATCATTTCTTCCACGAACATTTTTTTCTGCATTTTCTAGCTAACTAATCAGAAAAAGAGTTTATTTTCATTGTAAACATATAGGTATGCTTGGCAATGCAGAAGATTTGCCCTAAAAGCGTTAAAAATCATTTATAAAAAAATCTGTCAGCATTTCCCTAGTTTAGCTATTTATATGTTTATTCATCTTGTTTCCAGTTCCAGAAAGGATTTATGGCACCTCATATAAATGCATAATATAACAAGGTAACATATACCCAAAAAAGTACAGTTGAAAAGAAGAACAGGATAAAGGAATAATGACAGGCAAAGCAAAAGCAGAAATAAGGTTAATAACCACTGAGATGACTTCCCCTTTGTCTATGAGTGTGGTTTTACACTACCAAGATCATGCATCATATACAGGTTTATAGCTATGGATGGGTTCCCAAACTGAATGTGACCAGTAAATATCAGATAGGAAAGATCGCAACCCTGCTGAAGGGCTAGGAGCCTACAGGTCGGTGTTGGCCATCACCACCTACCTGTCCTCTCCTGTCTCAGTCTTGTGTCCTTTCCCCTTCCTTGGGGCTGTTCTCTTCGCTGATGCACCATTCACAAAACTGCAATAAACTATGACTGTGTCCCTATGTTCTTCTTCCTAAACACAACCCTAAAACATTTTTACTCCATAGACTATCTGAGGAAGGAAGACTTTTCTGAAAAATATTAACACGTTTACATGATTCCCAAGTCAAAACTCTATAAAAAGTATGCACCAATAATAATAACTAAATAATAAACTACAAAGTTTATTAGGTATAAGTTTGGGTGTTTTTTATTTATCTCTCCAGAGTTTCTCATCACAAATCTAAGGGAATAAAAACATATATTCTTATTTTTTTCAAGTTCATACTTCAATTACTTGTTATTCCTCTCATTTCTGTATCTTTCTCACACAGACAAAAACGCACAGCCTCCCTTAGTGCATGGTTCCGCTCAAAGCACCAAGGAATTGCTGAAGGGAGAAATGTGAAAAGACGTAGAATCCAATTAACTTTTGCCGTTACTGGTGTGCAACACTGTGTGACGCGCTGCTTTTTTTAGTAAATGGGGATGAAAATCTCATAAATTAATCAAGGTTTCCAAGGGAAGTGATGAGCTAAAACCCAGATGTTCACCTAATTAACAAATTAATCTTTAAAAACCAGCCTAAAGTTCTTTCCTGTGACTAAACATAACCTTAGCTTTTGCTAGTTTCTAACTTTATATTATTGCTTCTAACTTGGAATAGAATCATGCTACTAGCAATGCTTTTTCTCTGTTTTATTTTATTTCTTCTTCTTGCTTATTACTTTTAAGAAGCATATCTTATGGATAGAATTTTAAGCAAATATACAAATAAGATGCAGTTTTCCTTGGTTTTCTGACATTTGCACTTCCATACAAATAAGCCTGTTTCAGTTAAACAGCACATACACTCAGACAATATTATCCTTCATCTCTTCTATATTCTGTAACTTCTAAAGTGTTGTTGCAATAATAGAAATTAAGCAAAAACATAGTCCTTAGTGTATAAGGAGGTGTTTTCCTCTTTTATTACAATTTTATTTTCAGGAAGCATTTATTTTCTGCTTCTACATTGCTATATATACACCTATGTGTACTCATGTGTCATTATTATATACTCTTCTAAAATTTGTGCTCAAATATACATAAATATACGTTTTAGTTTCATGAAGCAATAAGAAAGCAAAAGTCGGGCCCGTGGTATAGTTCAGTGGCACAGCATTTGTCTGGCAAGCACAAGGTTCTGAGTTAGATTCCTGGTACCAAAAAAAAAAAGCAAAGGTTTTTATTTCCTCATAAATACAGATGGATTTCAACCTGTTACTTTCTCCTTCCTTCTGATTTCATAATATACTGTTTATTGTGATTATGAGTTGAACCTTGCAATTTATAAATACTTTCGCATACTGACCTCTTTTGGTCTTTACAAGAGTCCTGTGGGCTAGAACAGTTTCCCATTTCACAGATGGAGAAAGCAAGATTCCAGGAGTTAAGTGATTTTGCTCAATAAACCAAACCAATGGGTGACAGAGCTGATCTTTGAACTACACCACTGGCTCCAAGTCCAGGGTCTATCTGAGGCATCACATGAGTTCACAGGAGTGGAGTAAATGCTAATGCATCTTCTGTGAAACGTACCTGCGGAAATTTATTAGTTTCAAATACTACTGGGTGTCCAGCAAACAGCCTGTTTACTTGTGTATTTGTGCTTACAAAATTTCTCATTTGAATATGTTCCTAGGAAAGATGACAGCTCAGTGACTTGCCATCAATAGAGCATGAACTGGGGGCTGGGGATTTAGCTCAGCGGCAAAGCACCTGCCTGGCAAGTGCAAGGTCATGAGTTCGGTTCCCGGTACCGGAGAAAAACCAAAACCAAAAAAAAAAAAAAAAATAGAGCATGAACTGGGAGAGCATTTTCACGCCTGTGAAAATCCCTAGCAGAACTTTACCTTACATTTACAACAGATGCTCTCTAAAACTTTGAAGCAGTTTCTTAAATTCTAAATAAACAGTTGTCACAGCAAGTGAAACTTCAGAAACCTGCTAAGAAGGCCAGGTCTTCTGAGTGACCCCTATGTCGTCTAACCTAGCATGTGCACTTTAGAACAAACACAACAAATGTTTTTTGAATTGCACTGAGTTGAATTGCCTGCCCTCTGTATATTTAATAAAGACACCATCTATATGAGACAAATAAATTACTGTGTTTCCAATAATCAAGTTCCTCTGACTTTGACCCTCAGGGTCACTTAATAACTTTAGGAGCTGTTTTTCCTCGTGGCTCACTGATACTCTATCAAAATGTTTTGTTCTTCAAGAAGTACAAAGTCATGAGTGTGGGATTTTATCTTCACCACTTGTAAAATAATCGAAAGTTTATGACTCACAAATCACCTAGTACCACACATTTTACAGATAGGGAAACTGAGACTAAAATGATCAGAGCCTCAGGTTTCCTCTAAGAACATGAAGAGAGTGGGCAAGATGACTTCTGCTTTGACTTTCCCCACAGTGACCTGCTCCAAGCACACAGCTCTAGAAAAGCATTTACTTTCATTACACATATAGGCAAAGCACTAAAGCAATAATTATAATAACATACTCCAAACACAATAGTTGAAGTGCATAAAAATTTAGAAGCAGAACAGAGGAAGAAGTGATTAATTCCTTGGGGGGCATTTTGTTTCTTACAGCATGTAAGTATTTTGTTTCTTACAGAATGTTACTTACAGCATGTTTCTTACAGCATGTAAGGTTTTGAAGGTCAAGAAGAGTTCACTAGCCTTAGAAGGCAGGGCAGTCCCAAAGTAATATGAACTATGATTTCTAATGTATGAGAAGTAACTATGGCAGACATATATGCAAAACAAGGAGCATGTGTATTTTTCAGGAGGGGATATTCAGTAAAATTATACAAACATGTCTAGTACTTTGGAAATGAATTCTTGTGAGAAATTTAAGTTTAGTTAGGCTAGAGTTTGCAATTAGTCAAAGAAAAAGATAGGGAAGATATTACAGTAATACCAGCAAAATACTGAAAACATCACATACATACCATGAAAAAAGTGTATGCTATGGAAGCTCAGATGTGGGCATCAAGTCAAGTCTAAGGGGTTCAAATAAGGCTTCTTGAAATAAGCTAAGCTGGATTTCCACACAAAAGAAGTAATTAGCCTGGTGAGAAAATGTGAGAGAAGAATTTCAAGCATAAAGAACTTTTTGGACAAAGGAAGAGAGGGAAGAAACAGCCTGGACCATGTGAAGAACTATAAGCAGTGTGGTAGTGGTAGAGAATAAGACAATGCATGGTCAGTCAAGATGAGGAGGAAAAGATGGCAGAGCAGTGATCACAGTAAAATGCAGCTTCTCCAAGATCCAGATTCCAGATACCTAGAAAATAACCTGGCAATAGAATAAAGAAGTAGACTGCTGGGAATCGGAAAGAAATTGACAGGAAAATTAGAAGCTGCAAGAGATATTGGAGAAATAGCATGCAACACAGAGAAAAGAACAAAGCAGTCTGAAACCTCACTCACCTTTGCTCCGAAAATGGGAAGCTGCCTCCACAGACACAAAATAAGCATGCAAGGAAGGCAGCTTCAGGGAGAAGTGGTGTGCCAGGCTGGCAGTCTGGGCCCCAGGAGGAACCCACAGCTATTGTGAGTGGCAAAAGCAGCACAGGTTTTTGCTTCAAGGTGACTCCTTCCACAAGGTGGACAACAGAGGGAATCCAATGTGGTGCCTGTCATATGGCCAGAGAGTGTTTAATAGGGAGCTATTTCAGAGAGAGGCTGATTATGTAAGTCTGAGACTCAGAACAATTAGAAATTGACTTCACTTCAGGATTCCCAGTATAACACTTCCACAGTGACCGGGTGAGAGAAAGCTGCAGGAGAAAGTCATGGTTGGGGAGAGGACTACTACAGCAGCCTGGAGAAGGTTAAGC